GCACGACATTACCAGAGACACTACAGAAACAGTTTGCAACAAAGACACAGCCAAAAAGTGCACCACAAGTGACCCACTACAATCCAACAACACGTTTGAGGGAGAAAATAACACCACCAACCATACAGGAAGCAGCAGCAACACACACCGCTAGAGGTGCAGCTGAACATGGTCTACCACACCCTTCAGAAGTACATCCTGGACTGGAGGAGAGTACTGGTACAGAGAAGGCCCATACTGGAAGAGAGTACATCTGGAGCCACAAACAGCGCTTTACAAACCAGCACACGACGGGCCAGACATCAAGAAACTCATGAGTTGGAGACAGACCAAGGTACAACCAATTGCAGAAGACACAACACAAGGTTCGTAGAAGATGAATGGACCAGCCAGCTAAAACATCAGACAAGCCCTGGACAGGATGGGCAAACTTTGAGGAACATCAGGAGTTTCCCACACATCTTGAATCAGATGATGAAGAACAACACCAAGGAGCAAAAGCCGAAGCAGTACAAGCACCCAAGCAACCAACACCACAAAAGATACTCGAGCACAATGTGACACACCTTCCTTACAGGAGTTGGTGCCCAATATGTGTACAAGCAAGAGGCAGACAGAACAACCACCCAAAACAGCACAGCAAGCTTCCAATCGTACATCTTGACCTCGGCCACATCAAAGGATTTGATGGCAGCAACGCGCGCCCGATTCTCACAGCAATTGACATCCAATCTGGGACGATCATGGCAATACAAATGACTGACAAGAGGATGCTCTTCAACTACGCAGTCACACAGCTACAGCGCTTCCTCATTGAATGTGGAAGAACAACGCGCACAATACTACAATCAGATCAGGAGGACTTCCTGACAGCATTCACCACAGCAGTGGCCAACAGGATTGGCAACATCACCACAACGAACTCAGGAGCATACAGTTCAATCGCAAGGAGGAGTAGAGAGATCAGAAAACTCAAGGCACAAATCACAACAGAGACATTTCAATGAAAGCATAAATCATGAACAGGTACGCAGTCCACAGCAATGGATGCGCAAGCTACTTCAACAGATGGAACAGAGAGCAACACACACCACTTTGTGAGTTTGGTGAGACAATGCAATACATGCTACCAACACTGAAACACAATGGAATTTGGCCTGGCAAGGCTACAACCACAGGTGAATCCCTCCTTGGGATCTACAACAGGATTGTCAGAGCAGGACAATCAGAAGGCAGATGATGCCTCACAAATACAATCAACAGCAACTGGACTGTGTGAACACAGGTCCCTGGAAGAGCATCAGCACTGCCTACACCGACTCTCCCATCGCAAGAGACAGTGCCAGCTACAAGTAAAGCACCACCATCACAAAAAGGGTGCGACAACAAGCACATCAGCAGAAGGCAAGAGACAGAGTGCATCACAAGCAAGTGATCAGCAGGCAAAGCAGAAGAAGACATCAGACCCACACATCACCAATCACTACGTCACCAACACATCAGAAGCAGCATTGCCAGCACCACCGCCTACATCACTCACCAGAGAAAGAGATGATACAGTAGCAGAAGGCAGCACAGGCAAGCAACAGCGAACCACAGCAGAGAGGCAAGCACTCGAGCGGCCTACAACGACCGAACAACCAAAAGGAAAGATGAGAATCAATGCCATCAAGTTTCCAACAAAGGATGGTAAACAAATGGAGACCGCATCAAATGAGGACACACAGGAAATCAAGAATGAGAGGATCCTACTGGAGCCGATCATACATGATGCAGAAGGCTTGGATCCGCAACAGGTAGCACAAGGCATGAAGAAAGAAGTACAACAAATGAAAGATCAATCAGTCTTCACAGAGATTGATGGCAATACAACGACACCAGAACAACAAGCATCATCAAACAAAGGTGGGTTCTCAAAAAACACAACAAAGTACGAGCACGAATAGTAGCAAAAGGCTACACAGAACCCGTTGCAGACCACAACCTACTCTTCGCAAGTACACCACTGCTTTGCATACTGAGAGCGCTTCTCGCACTGGCACTGGTTTACAACTGGTCGGTCTGCACAGGGGATGTGAGTGTTGCATTTCTACATGCAGCAGCTATCTCTTACAACTTGGTGACGCGACCGCCGCATGAGTTCTACAATGAAGAAAACAGACACATGATGCGGCGGCTAAACAAAGCCATTTATGGCTTGAGCTCATCACCAAAGACCACATTGCACACAGTCACACTTGAACTTGCGAGACGCACAACAGAAAGCAGCGTTTGCAGATCAAAGGATTGCCTGGTCTACATCATGACCTATGTAGACGACCTCCTATTCATAGGAGTACAAAGCATCATTGACACGTTGTTCGGCAGAATACAAAAGGAACACACGCGACCTAACAGTTGGATCAACAGTACATTTCCTTGGCAGGAACATCTCACATAAGGGCAACTACATCGAGATCAGCTTGAACAACAACTATGTTGACATCATCCTGGAAGAGTCAGGAATGATAACATGCAACCCAGCACCATCACCAGGAGTGTCACACATGAAGGCTACAACAGAAGATAAAGCAGCACTTGATCACGAACAACACAAGCAACACAGGCGGCTTGTTGGCAAGATACAGTGGCTAGCATACACACGACCAGACATCAGCTATGGAGCAAAAGAACTAGCAAGATCATTACAAGCACCAACACAACTTGACAACAAGAAACTCAAGCACATGATCAGGCACCTTCAAGGAACAAGGTACATGAGACACAACCTGCGACCAAAGATGCAACTTCAGGACAAACGACTTCCACTCAACATTGACACATACACAGATGCCAACTGGGCATCATGCGATACAACAAGGAAGAGCGCAACAGGATTTGCGCAAAACTTGTTTGGAGCAGCAGTACACTGGCAGCAGAACACAAGCGACAATAGCACCTTCATCAGCAGGATCAGAACTGCACGCAATTGGCACAGCAGCACAGGAGAGCCTCTACATCAGCAACGCTTTCGGGGAGCATTTGAAGCGCGCACCAACATCAGGATACACACAGACAGCAGCTCAGCAAAATCAATAGCAATGAGAGAAGGTACATCAAAGAAAGCAAAGCACATCCAGCTGCGACACCTCTTCACTTGTCAAAAGCAAAATCGTCAGCTGCGACGGCCTCAACTAGCACATGTACAACATTGGCCTGTGAGGCCACACCACAACCAGTTTCACACAGTGTGCGCAGTATGTTAAACAACAGTTGCACAGTTCACAAGCGTGTTTGTTTCACTACATATCGGCACATTTAGTTTTCTTTTTCGGGTAGACACATTGTCATGGATCGACCCTCGCTTTTCAACCACTACTACTTCCCCCTACATCTTTTGGGACATCTTTCTGGATGGCATTTTCTGTACATGTTTCAGACAATGTTTTGACACATGCTGCAGCCATTTTACATTTGAGGTGTACAGTTTTAGACCCTCAGTTTTACATCAATAGCGCGCCGGGCATACAAGACTCTTCACATGCCCGTGGCAGTGCCAGATGGATTTACAGTGGATCCGGTAAAAAAATATCCCGGTTACACCGATGACCTTGAGGACTACACCACTGCGATGATCCCTCTTACAGTGGAACACATGTTGATGACAACAACTGGCACATCCCAGACAGACGCTGTGCAGAGGATCCCGGGCTACACAACATCCTACATTGGGTTTCATGAAAGTGCTCTACAGCCTCATGGACTGCGTTGCCTATATGAGCTGAGCTGGTTGATACATGAGGGTAAAGACAGCACTGCAAACATGAGTACATTCTTTGTGTACAGGGTGAGTTTGCACATACATGAGCTGGTACAGAAGAACATCTATGAGAAGAAGATCACAGTCTTCAATAGAGGTTACACTGGACAGGTCCTTGAGCTACACCATGAGTGCACATGGTGTCTTTCGACAACTGAGAAGGCCTCTGCTGCATTTTTCAGGGTGAAGGGCCACAGTACAAGCTTCCTCATGAACTACAATCTGACAAAGGACTTCTGCGATTTTGCAACACATCGCCATTCCCATCCAACAGGTTCTGGCTACAACGGATCCGTTGGATCGAGTACATGCAGGTTTCTCGATGGCTTTGAGCCAGTACACATACCCTGCAGTACAAGCCATCAATGAGCCTCGGAAGACAAGGGTCACAGAGTACATTGTGAAGCATGGGATACAGCTTGGTGGGAACAGCATGGCTTTGTTGCCTGGACAGATTGGCTACAGCGACCAGAAGCTACAGGAGATAGACAGCTCGGTGATTCTGTCTCAACAGCAGGGGTACAGGCCGTTGAGCAAGAAACGGATCATGAAGGAGGAGGAAGAGAACGATTGAAGGTGCATCACATACCTTGCCAATTTTTGGCACACCGGTTTTGGGGGCAGCTACAGTCTTCAGACATCAGGCTACATGAGTACAGTCTGTATAGATGTTCGGTCCACTAGCAGCACAGTTGTACAAAGTGAAACAGCCAGTAGAGCTGATAGAAACTTTTACATAAATTAGAACATAAACTGTTTTTTGGCTTGCTGTAGGACTACATCAATCCAAGAGGGGGTGTTAATATACATCCACCTTGTGTATGACATTGCTGCTCTGTACATCAAGGCCTTGAGCCTACAGCAAGATTACAGCCCTTGCCCAGATACAACAAGTGCCGCGCTGTCATCACAGGTTTGACACATTTAAAGGTTATTGGGAAGTTACACAGTCAGTTCCACTTTAACAATACATGTATGCAAGCCCTATTGAAACTTAATGGACGTCATTCAGCCGATTTCTTATACAGCGCGCGAGCTGGAGACATACAAGCTACCTCACTTCCGACTTCCGAAAGGTCCGGCCAGATTTGAGTTCTCAATAGACAGGTCGCTAACTCGCTAACTCTGGCTCTGACAGCCCCTAAACTGCAAATATGTTGCCGAGTGCCAACATGAAGCTGCTCCGCCCGGCAATCCGAGCCTGGAAGTTGCTCCCAGATCATGATGGACAGGTTGCGCCCGACACCTGAAACCGGGGTACAGCCCAGCTATGACTTGCGCGCTGCACTGCGCCTGGACGTCCGTGCTGGTGGCAGTGCACCACAATCTGCGAGACCAACGTGGGACTCTCCAGGAAGATCAGCACCGGCTCGGAAGGCCCGCTACGAGCTAGCGCCTGGCAAGCCGAAATCATCTATTTGATATATGATATAGCCGCCGACAACACGGCGTGTTGGACACAAAAAATGCTCCTTACCTCTTTACCTGTTACCCCTCCCCTAACCCCTCCCCAGGGGCACCATTTCAGCTATTGCGGGGGGGGGGGTCCACGTACCACGCGGTGATTCGAAGACGCTTCACTAAATCTGTTCATTGTGCGGGCTTGCGCAACCCAGTTTGTCAAAAACATTGGGGTGTTCGATTCCCCCGGGTGCGCTTTCGCATCCTTAGCAGCTCCAGCGGCACATCGCCAGCATCACCTGCATCATCCGCATCAGCGCCTGCCAAGGATGCGGATGATGCAAGTGATGCTGGGGATGTTGCCCATGCTGGTGAAGGAAATGAAGGGGGGAAAGGGGGAAAGGATCTCAACAGCGAAAGGGGGGGAAAGATCTCAGGGAGGAAAGGGAGAAGATCTGGGGAACAAATGCCTTAAGGGGGAAAGGGGGGAAAAGATCTTTGGGAGGAAAAGGGAAATCTTTCTCGGGGGGAACAGGCCCTAAGGGGCAATGGGGGGACAGGATCTCAAACGGGAAAGGGGGAAAAAGACTTTGGGAAGAGAAGGGTGGAGATCTTGGGGGGAAAAGGCCTTAGGGGGGAAAAGGGGGAAAGGATCTTAAGCGGGAAAGGGGGGGAAAGATCTTAGGGAGGCAAAGGGAGACGAACTCAGGGAAAAGGACTTAGGGAGGAAAGGGGGGGAAAGATCTTTAGGAGGAAAAGGGAGAAGAACTGAGGGTGGGAGGCCTTAGAAGGAAAAGGCGGGAAATAAATGATCTCAACAGGGAACGGGGGGGGGGGGGGGTGTGGGAAAAAATACATAAAACGGCACTTCTACATCAAAACCAAAAAATCAAACAGCATACAACAAAATCAGCAAAATTCACAGAAAACAAGATAAGAACCACCAAGCAACTCAAAAACCAGAACAACCCCCAACAAAATATTTAATCAAAGCATAAAACATTAAATAATTCAAACAAGCATACCAACAAAACAGCAAAAATAAAAACCATCAAAGAACACAAACTCAAACACACACATCAACAAAAACAAAGCAACATACCAACAAAAAATATCAGAAGAGTATCAAACAAAATAAAATACAAACAGCCAAAGCACGAAAAAATCAAAAGAGCATACCAAGTTCAAACAACGCACTTTGAAAGAGTCAGCCAAATCAAGGAAAAATAAAATGTTTCAATCTTTACAAACCATAAGTACAGTATAATTACAACGTATAAGATTTTACATGTTATAATTATATTACAATGCAAGCACACATACCCTTTGCGAGTTTCCACACATACCCTGTGTGAGTTTCCACACATACCCTGTGTGAGTTTCCACACATACCCTGTGTGAGTTTCCACACATACCCTGTGTGAGTTTCCACACATACTCTGAGTTAGTTTCCACACATACTCTATGTGAGTTTCCAGACTTGTCCATTGCTGGTTTTGGATGTCAAACAATACTGCTATTCAAACCGAATGTGGAACAAATTAAGAAATTGCTTTTCATATTATTTAGTCACAATATGATTAAACATTGTTAAATTTTATAACCCTCATGGGGCATGTGTAGAAATCCACGTGAGCTATGTGTAGAAACCTACATGGGCTATGTGTAGAAACCTACATGGGCTATGTGTAGAAACCTACATGGGCTATGTGTAGAAACCTACATGGGCTATGTGTAGAAACCTACATGGGCTATGTGTAGAAACCTACATGGGCTATGTGTAGAAACCTACATGGGCTATGTGTAGAAACCTACATGGGCTATGTGTAGAAACCTACATGGGCTATGTGTAGAAACCTACATGGGCTATGTGTAGAAACCTACATGGGCTATGTGTAGAAACCTACATAGGCTAAGTGTAGAAACCTACATGGGCTATGTGTAGAAACCTACATGGGCTATGTGTAGAAACCTACATGGGCTATGTGTAGAAACCTACATGGGCTATGTGTAGAAACCTACATGGGCTATGTGTAGAAACCTACATGGGCTATGTGTAGAAACCTACATGGGCTATGTGTAGAAACCTACATGGGCTATGTGTAGAAACCTACATGGGCTATGTGTAGAAACCTACATAGGCTAAGTGTAGAAACCTACATAGGCTAAGTGTAGAAACCTACATAGGCTAAGTGTAGAAACCTACATAGGCTAAGTGTAGAAACCTACATGGGCTATGTGTAGAAACCTACATGGGCTATGTGTAGAAACCTACATGGGCTATGCGTAGAAACCTACATGGGGTATGTGTGGTGGGGATATATCTATAAGAATTTCAAGTTTCAAGCCCAACCCCAAACTCAAAAATCCTTAATCCGTCAAACTCACCAAGATTTCACAAATTAATTCGCTAGGTATTTTATATAGGTCTTCCTGTTTATGTATTATTGGATTGTCTCCCCATTTTTCCTTAGTGCCCGATGGTAGCCGTTGTGCTGTTTCAATATGTTTATTATTCCTGATGTTGCCACAATCCTTTTTACATAAATCTCTAGGTTTCCAAGTTGTAATGTTATTCCAAAGCCTAGTTCTCTTTCTGTAAGGCATTCCATATTTACAATAATCAACATCTTTAAAATCAAACTCATCCATAAACTCCTGATGTTTTAATAATCCAGTTTGTGGATTTTCGATTACAAAATATTTAGGATTGAAATATTTGATAATCTCAATAGTTTTTAAGACAATATTATTTGCATATTCGATATTCCTAATTCCCCTAGTTTTTGCTACACTATATTCAGTGCATGGGGGACTACTCCAAATAAAATCAAAATGGTTTCTGTCAAATTGTTTATAATCCCATTTCAAAATATCAGTATTTATATCAGCATTTTTCAAATCCAATGAAATAACATTGAAACCGAGCGACTTTGCAACAAGTCCAACACTGCCTGTTCCGCTAAACATCTCTAATAAGTTCATTATTAAAGATATTTAGATAATATTATCTATGAGTAAATACAACTTTATGAATAAAGTTTCGTTTCCTCGTCATAGTCAATTTGATAAAATGTCATAGTTGAAGCCTTCGGTTCTTTAATTTCTTTGTTATTAAGTTTGTTTAAATAAATATTTCTTTTATTTTTATATTCCCCCTTGGTTCTATCTACTTCTTTACTTTGATAACTGTTTGTTAATGGTTTCTTCTTTTCCATTTCTTGCAAGATTTCTAAAATATTCTTATTCTGTTCTAAAACCTTGTTCAGTTTTTTAACAATCTTATCTAATCCTTCATCCATGTAAATATATACTAAATTATAAAACTAAACTTTTAAAACTAA